CTTAAGTTTTAATTCTTTTATTGATATACATTTTCCTCCTTCCTCCTCTTCCAATTTCTTTGGAATGTCTATCTTTTCCAGATTGTTGATAGTTGTATAATATCGAGTCATCCATTAATAAACAGATGTATGCACATCCATGTCTATTGCAGTGTTATTCACAATAGCAAAGAGATCAAAGCAGCTCAAGTACCCATCAATAAATAAATGCAAATGAAAGATCTTGGTATATTCATTCAGTGAAATATCACATAGAACTGAAAAATAGTGAACTTGCAAAACACTATACAACATGAATGAGTCTGAAAGACATTTGCTCAGTGAACTGTCTCAGTCACAAAAGGGCACATACTGCATAAGACATAATGTCTTTAGATCTCGTACACAAGAAAGAAAGGTTTGGCTTGTGAGAAGTTGAGGAGAAGACAGTACAACATATTAAAGTTGGAGAACAAGGTAAAGATTGGGGGTGGATGATGGAAGGGACAGAAGACTTTATTCTTAATTTGATGCTTATTTTTGTGTATGTGTGATGTGTACATGAAAGCTTGTGAAGATTATGTGACTCTGTAATTCTAGAAATTGTAACCTGGGATAGAATGTGTGTAGTAGTTGAAGTACGGAGGTTGAATTAACATTTTTGTTGAGGGGAAAAACTATGTCCAGTGAGTTGATTACAAATCATGGTGACCCATTTAAAATGTACAAGAACTGCCTATAGGGTTTCTGTATATAGATTTCGATTTATTATATTTATATTTATATTTATATTTATATATTTTTATATTTATATATACACACATACATACATATATAAAATTATATATTTTATATATATATTACATATATTTTATGTTTTATAAAATATATACTTTCCTTCTTTTTTTCCCTCCTGTGGGGTTTCTGAGACTCTAGTTGTTATTGGAAGCAGAATGCTCTCCTTTCTCCCATAGAGCTTCCGGTGGATTTGAACTGTTGACCTTTCAATCAGCAGCTCTATATGTTTAATCCACTTCTTCATTAGGGCCCCTTCAAGGGGAAAAGAGACAATAATTAAGAATACAGATCTTTCCAATGACCTAGATAAGCTGAATAATAGAAGATTGGAAGAGTAGCTGAAGATGAAAAACACCAAAAAACCAAACCAAACAATGGCAATAACATAACATAAAAGCTGAGGGCTTAAGATAATTTAGCAGAAATGCAGTGTCATATGTGACAAGATATTTTCAGTATTTTTTTAAAGACATTAAAAGCATTTAAAAAATAAAATGTCACTTCTGTTACTGATCAAGATGATTCCACTGGAGTAGGAATTTGGCCAGAAGCAAAAGACTGTGATTATAGGAATATAAGGGATGTAAAACTATTGAAAGCATAAATACAGAAAACTCCACTAAATTTTAAAAGGACAAGGGACGAGACGCAGGAAGAGACAGAGGAGGAGTTTTGTATTCATACCGTCATTCCTTTCTCTCTTCTCACTTCTAATCAATACTACAGCTCTTCGATCAACCCCTTGATGAAACAATAGCTTTGAAAATGAGATGAATCAGTTCTTAATCTGAAGTAATATGCAAGTTGGAGAAAATTATAGCCTAGGCAGGAAGCTGGGGATTCCAACATCATCTATTTCAATGAAAGTGGAGGCAAGGTTGACTTTTTGTGAAGTATGGGAAAGTCAAACACAAAAGAAAAGAGCAATTGAAAAGAATACTTTAGAGAATTGTGTCAGGGTCCTGCTAAGAGTTGGAAATAGAATATTGGTGTGTCAGACAGCTAATGACTAAAACTGGGTGTGCATATTTGTATCCGCTCTTGGATCCTGATTTCTTCTGTCTTATCATCCAAACACAAAAAATGTGTTCTATTTTTAAATGTTTACGTGGATTTTTATTCTAAACTGACACAATTTTCTTATTACTTTTATTTGGAAACTAGGTTTAGGATGCAAATATATCTATCAAAAGAATGGAGATCCTTTGCGCATCAGTGAACTTCTGGAAAGTTTCAAAAAGGATGCCAGGAGCTTTAAGCTGAGGGCTGGAAAACATCAGCTTGAGGATGTGACGGGTGTGTTGAAAAGTTTTCTCTCTGACACCGACGATGCCCTTCTTACTAAGGAGCTTTATCCGTATTGGATCTCTGCTTTAGGTAATGCATATATTGTGGAATATAAATGTTGGATACATTTATAAATGTATCCATTTATACTTGTATCCATGTATACATTTATAATGTATACATTATCCATGTATACATTTATAAAACCTTTCAGTTGGATACATAGCTGTGTTCTTGAATATTGTTTTAAAAAATGTTTTTGTTTGCATTCCATTATTCATATACATTGTTTTATTCATGAAGGCTTTGTTTTATGAAATCATTCATATACATTGTTTTTTTATATAATTAGTTATATGTTGGTTACTATTTATCTATGTATATTATCATCCAGTCTTTTCAAGGCCTCTTTGAGTCTTTTCTAGTACTTCATTCCCTCCTCCTCCACTCAGTAACCTCTGCTGTCACAGTGATTGTCCCTGCTTCCCCCTTTTTTGTTTCCTTCTCCCTTTACCCTTTTGAACACTTGTGCATATCTTGCTCAGTTATCCTCCTGTCTTCACAGTAGTAGTCTTATTCAGTATTTGTCCTTATTTGACTGAGTTATTTTACTTAGCATAATAATCTCTAGTAAACTCTCCTGTGTAATGTAGTGTTACACAAAATCATGGTTCCATTGTGCTGTATTCATTACGTCAGTCTCAAAAATTCCTGAATACATTTGTTTGTTTATTGTCATTTGGACTGCTTTCATTTCTTTCATTTGTGCGTAACACTGCTGTGAATATAGTTGTACAGGTGTCCATTTGTGTCTCAATTCTTTTTCCTTGAGATATACTCCTAGCAGTGGAAAAACTGATTGATACGGGATTTCAGAGATCAGATTTTTAAGAAGAAGCCAAATTGCCTAGCATAGCAGTTGTTTCCCACTATTTCAACTTATATTTACTATTGTATTGGAAGTGTTAGATATGTCAGTAAAACAAGAGAAAGAAATGAGACTTCTGAATTGGCAAAGAGATGGAACTGTCACTATATGCAGATGTGATGATAGTGTACACAGGAAATCCCAAAGTAAAAAACAAAAAAAAAACACCAAAAAAAAAAAACCCCAAACAAACTACAAAACAATGAAACAGACCAACAACCCTGTTGGGCCTTATAGACCAATTTCTATACAACAAGAAAAAGAGCATTGAAAAGGAAATTAAAAGGCAATACCATTTGCAATAGCCCGCCACAAGATCTTAGACATCAGAAGGATTCTGATTAGTAACAGCTGTTAGTAATAACTAAGGATATGAGGATATGATTAACAACTTCTGAAAATCTGCTGGAGGGTCAGCTATGAGTTGGTTCCAACTATGACATGCAACAACTGCAACAACCTCATTAGAGACACATAGGATTTTTAAAAGGAAAACTACAAATCACCATTGTTGTTATGTGCCGCTAAGTCGCTTGAAATTTATAGCGACCCTATGTACAACAGCTCTGAACCATCTGTCCTGAGCCAGCCTTATTGTATCTGACACACCTACCACATTACACCATCTCAGAGTCAATCCATCTCATTGAGGGTCTCTCTCTCTTGTCCCTCCACCTTCACAAGCATGATATCCTTTTCCAAGGACTGGTTCCTCCTTGTAATATGCCCAGAGTATGTCAGATGGAGCTTCAGAATTATTACTTCCAAGGAGCAGGTTGGGTTCACCTTCTCCAGGACAAAACTATTTGTTCCCCTAACAGTTCATGTTATATTCAGTACTCTTCTCTAGCACATCCATTACTCTATCATTCATACTCATTGTCCTGCTTTCTGATGCATAGCAAGCAAACTACTAGAAGAAACAGTAAGAACCTTAGCGAAATGGAAAAATTGTGGATAGAAAGACTTAACAGTGTGACAAAGACAATTCTACCAAAAACAATCAAACAGTCTTTAGGTTCAACATTATCCTAATATAGATACCAAATTGTTCAAGGAGAGAGAGAAAAGGTAATTTCCAGTTTCATTTGGAACGGAAAGTGAACTACAATAACCAAAGCATTTGAATCTTTTTAAATAATCTAAAGATTTAACTGGAAAGAACAAGGTGCATAATAACTTAGAACAGAACTTATGTGAATGTAGACAGTCTTCTTTACTATAAGAGAAAGCTGTAATAATACTATTATAAATAGGTATATATATGAGCACCTGTGAGCGTAGGCCATACGAGTTCTGGGAGAATATCAAGAAAATCGTCCATGAATCTTCCGCCCCCATGTCTGTTTTAATTGTCCAATTTCCACAGTGCTTGTCAAAGCCAGTTCTGATTAATCTCCTTTGTCAGTGTGTCCCTTGCCGTTCCCTATCACTCCTCCCTGAGAGAGACTTCACCCTGATTCATAAGGAAAAGGGGATGGCGTATTCTCTTAACTACTTCCTGCTGAAAAGGGACGCTGTGGGTTTCAGGGTGAATGTCTTCTCTCACTACTCCAAAGGGCCCCCTTGGCAGTAGGAAACACATAGACTATTATGGAGATTGATTTTGGAATTTAGATGCACTGTTATCAATTGTGCTTAGCCGTACATATTCATATCCTTGAAGATGTATCATGGAAGTGTTGCAGCCTAAAAGATACAAATTTAACTAACAAGTTAAAAGTGCATGAGTCAAAAATTGAAAAGCAATAATATTTTGAGTAGAGGTTCTAATAGTGGCACAAATCAAGTTACAGAGGTGAGGTGGTTCCATTGCCATCCTTACTCTAACTTAATACTTTTTTTTTTAATTTAAATTTGTTATTGATTTCCGTGAAAATTTACAGAGGCGGACCAAGAGGCAGTCATCCTAGCAGAGCAGGGAGACACTGGATGGTTCAAAATCAAGAAAGGGGTCCATCAGGGATGTATTTTGTCTCCATACCTTTTCAATCTGTATGCAGAACAGATCATCCGAGACGCTGGGTTGTACGAGGAGGAATGTGGCATCAGGATCGATGGAAGAATCGTCAACAGCCTGTGTTATGCAGGTGACACACCTCTGCTCGCTGAAACTGAGGAGGACCTGAAGTGCTTGCTGTAGAAGGTCCAGGACTGCAGTCTTCAATATGGATTGAAGTTCAATATCAAGAAAACAAAGATTCTCACCACGGGACCAATTGGCAGCATCAGGATGGATGGTGAAGAGATTAAGATAGTTAACAATTTTTGTTTACTTGGTTCCACAGTCAACACTCTTGGTAACAGCAGCCAGGAAATAAGGAAATGAATTGCATTGGGAAAGTCAGGTGTGAGGGACCTCTCAAGAGTACTTAAGTGCAACGACCTCAGGCTGGAGACTAAGGTGTGCCGGTTCCAGGCTATAGTCTTTGCTATTATGTGCTATGCATCGGAGAATTGGACAGTGAATAGGGATGATAGAAAGAGAATTGATGCCTTCGAGTTGTGGTGCTGGAGAAGAGTGTTGAATATACCATGGACTGCTAGGAGAACAAAACAGGTTTTTCCTGGAGAGGGTGAAACCACAATGTTCTCTGGAGTCAAGGATTCCGAAGCTTTGTCTGACATACTCTGGGCATGTTGCAAGGAGGTCCTTGGAGGGGGACATCATGTTTGGGAGAGTGGAGGGATGGCGCAGTAGAGGAAGACCCTCAATGAGATGGTTTGATTCTATGAGTGGAGTGGGAATGAGTCTGTTTGAGACGGTGAGGTTGGCACAGGATAGAACGGCATTTAGGGCTCTTGTACATAGGGTCACTATGAGTTGCAAATGACTCTATGGCACATAACAATATATTTATATATTTTGTATATAAAATAGTTCCCAATAAACTTCTTAGGATTTTCTTTGTTTTAAATTTAGAAGTATCATTCTCACATTCACGTATGCTATTAATTACTCATTAAGGCTGAAATGAAGAATTGAATAAGAAATTGGTTTTGTACTATTTCTTCCTTGTTTTTATGATTTATTCTCTATCATGTATATAACATTTTTTCCTCTTCTTAACTTCATTTATTCTAGATGCTGTCTAATGAAGTAAAGAAGCTTTACTATCATATAATAGGACCAACCTATTTAAGAAATGATCCTAGAAAATAATGTATTACTCATTAGGTCAAACTGATATTAGAAAAATCTTTTTTAAGCCATTAATTCAAATCAGCCCCTTTCATTAAAAAAATACAAAAGAGTCTGAGATATAAATGTTGCCTTTGTTCCTCTTTTCAGTAAAGCTACTTTTATTTTTATTTTATTTTTATTTTAGTCTTTGTTCCCAGGAAGGAGTAGTTTAGTCACTGAGTAACTCATTGACATTGAGTCAGAACCATCCTAGAGATGACCCTCTAGCAGGTTTTCTGAGGCGTTAAATATCAACAGAGAATATTTTCTATGTTTCTCCACAGAACTCCTGAGAGATTTGAACAGGCAGAGAGATGCATTTGGGTTAACGGTGCACCTCCCTATGGACTCTTCTTAATTTTTACTTAATTCATCACAGCCATTTTTTTGTAGTTCCAGAAAGTTTTAAAAATCTTCAGCCAATTTAACTTTAAAATTTACTCATGAATAATCTATAATTTTTTTAAATTTTTTTTAATTTTATTTTATTATTTTTGTGTGTGTGTACCGTCAAATCAGATCTGACTGGTACAGGAGGAGATTGTCCCTCCTTCCCCTGCAGAGCATCTGGTGGATTTGAACCGTTCGCCTCTGGGATTGTAGTTGCAGCTCCTTGCCACTAGGCCACCAGAGCTCCCCTAAATAATCCATAATTTTAAGATCTATTATTCTCTTGTAAATTTTCAGTTTCAAGAGCTTTAGTCTGCTGTTGAAAACTAGGTATTTTTACTTAAAAGCATAGGTTTAAAAGCTTAGTATCAAATTTGAAGAGATTCATTTTTAAATCAAGTTACAAAACATGCACAACTTGGAAAATTATGTTGTTAAGAGAATAATTTTTTTCTTAAAATAAAGGCTTTTCATTTACACTATTAGGAAGTCTGTCTTCTGTGTCTTGAATTACAGCTTTGGTAGCGTAGTCCGTTCCTCTAGTGTTCATAAGGTTTTCAGAGAAAACCTGTTGTTTAAGGTGGCTGCTAATTGTGCTTCCTAGTCTGTCTTAATCTAGGACCTCAACTAAATTCTGTTCACCGTGGGTATGACATTTGACATACCAGTGGCACAGCTTTCAGTATTACAGCAACCCCAAGTTCCTAATTTCAACTGACTTCCAATCTGGGCTCTACAACTACACTACTATAACTGGCCTTGTTCCTCTAATGTTCATAGGGTTTTCAAAGTGGAACTGTCAACAACTTCATCTTGCTTGTATCTACAATTAAGGTCCTTAATACTAGCAGTCAGGAAATAAGGAGATGCATTGTGCTTGAAAAATTTAGTTAGGGATTCTCTAAATTATTGAAGAGTAATGATGCCAGTTTGAGGACTAAGGTGCAGCTGATTCAGGCTGTAGTCTTTCCAGTCATTTGCTGCACATCTGAGAGCTGGATAGTAAATACGGATGACAGAAGAAGAATTGATTCCTTTGAGCTTTGGTGTTGGAGAAGAACACTGAAGATCCCATGGACGGCCAAAAGAACAAACAGATATGCCTTGGAAAAGGTGCTGCGAGAGTGCTCTTTGGAGGCAAGAATGATGAGGCTTCTTTTCACAAACTTTGGGAATTTTGCTGGGGGCGGGTGTGTGTGTGCTATACCTTGGAAAAGGACATGTTGCTGGGAAGGGTAGAGGGTCAGCGAAGGAGAGGATGACCCTCAACCAGGTGGAATGACACAGTGACTGCCACAATGGGCTCTTGTGTGTCAGGAAGTGTGAGAATGGTGTAGGATAGAATAGGGTTTACATCATTTGTGTATAGGATTACTAGGAGTCGTAGTCAGCTTGATGACATCTAACAACAGCAAGTGTAGTCTGTAGGGAGTTAAGCTCTTAACACAAAGGTAGTGTCTCTCTGTTGGTTTAAACCCACCAGCAGCACCACAGGAGAAAGTTGAGCATTCTCCTTCAGTGCAATTGACAGCTCTGAAAACCCACGTAAGGGTCAGCCATTAAGTGACTTACTGGTGCTGAGTTGAGTTGTAGAAGTTGTGCACATGGTTTTCTGATTATCCCTTCAACTTTTCCAATTGGGAGGAGGAGAAGGCCTGAGAAATTGCCTGGTACTTAAATTTGAGGGATAATACAAGCTGCTTCTGGCTATAAGGTGAGTCATAACTTTGAGAATAGCTTTATGGTTTCATAACAAAATAATCAAGCATGTCATTATTCATCTGCAAATAATGAAACTTTTCATAGGAGGAATTAAAATACTTTTCCCTTGGTTCTTTAATTTATACTGTAATTCAAGTAATTACTTGAATGTACGTCTCCTAAAGGAAGTTCAACAATTAGATAAGAGCTTTATTTTTAAAGTATGATAATTATATAGCATGTAGCCATAGGATGCTTATATAAATAAATGCTTTTCCATATTACAGGTCTCCAAAGATCTTTAACTTCTCTGTTCCAAAGTCTGACTGTTCATGTGTTCAAATATTATTATGAATATGGCTTTTAAATAACTTTAATTTAGACTATAGATTATTCGTTAACATGACAAGATAAACCCAAAGATTTCTTTCCCCCCCAGATGCCCAAGATGACAAGGAAAGAATTAAAAAGTATGGAGCATTTATCCATAGTCTTCCCATGGTCAATCAAGCAACATTAGCAGCCATTATTGGGCATCTTTACAGGTAGGTTTATGCTTGAGTTTTTGTTACATTGAAAATTTGGTATTCAATAAGATACTATTTCTCAGACTGTGGTTAGCTCTGTATGTGCAACTCAATCACACTGTCTTAATTACCCTTTCAAAATGAAATTCTTACTTTCCAAATTAAAATCTTACCACTTCAGCATCACTTTCTTTGTAACTAATATATGTGTACCAGAAAATTCTTTATTGTTAGGTGCCACGGGGTCCACTGAAACTCACAACATAGCTGTTTTGGTTGTTGGGTACCATCAAGTTGGAATTGACTCAGAGCTGACTCTCCATTGGCTTTTCAGATAAAATAAATCTTATGGGCGGAGAGATTGCCTGGCTTTCTCCCGTGGAGCCGATGATGGATTTGAATGACGTACCTTTACAGGGGCAGCTCAGTTCCTTACCACGTAGCCACCAGATCGGTATAGCATAAAATAATGCTAGAGAATTTCTTAAGTAAATCAGAAATGGTCAAGTAGAGCGCCCTCACGTACATTTCAGAGCATAAGTGAAAAATGCTGCTGCTGCTGTTGTTTATGTGTTGGTGTTTCTTGTTATGTGCCATCGAGTCACTTGCAACTCATAGCGACCCTGTGTACAACAGCCGTAAACTCTGCTCTGTCCTGTGCCAATCTCACTGTCCAACACTCCCATCCCAATTATCCCAGTCACTGAATCAATCCACCTCATAGAGGGCCTTCCTCTCCTGCGCTGTCCCTCCACCCTCCCAAGCATGATGTCCTTCTCCAAGGACTGGTCTCTCCTCACAACATGTCCAAAGTATGTTAGACGGAGCCTCAGAATCCTTGCCTCCAAGGAGCCACCCAGTTTAACCCTTTCCAGGACAAATCTGTTTGTTTTCCTAGCAGTCCATGGTATTCTCAATACTCTTCTCCAGCACCAGAGCTCAAAGGCTTCAATTCTCCTTCTATCCTCCTTGGTCATTGTCCAACTCTCTGATGCATAACAAGTGATTGCGAAGACCATGGCCTGTATCAGATGCACCTTAGTCTCCAGAGAGACACCATTGTTCTTCACTGCTTTGGAGAGGTCCCTAACAGCAGACTTTCCCATGGCAGTGCGCCTTTTAATTTCCTGGCTGCTGGTGCCAAGAGTGTTGACTGTGGAGCCAAGCAAACTAAAGCTGTGTACAATCTCAATCTCTTCACCATCCATCCTAATGCTGCCACTTGGTCCAGTGGTGAGAATCTTTGTCTTCTTGACATTGAGCCTCAATCCATATTGTAGGCTGCAGTCCTTGACACTCTGCAGCAGGCACTTCAGGTCCTCTTCAGTTTCAGCAAGCAGGGTTGTGTCATCCGCATAACACAGGTTGTTGATAAATTGTCCACAATCTTGACCCCACATTTCTCCTCATAGAGCCCAGCCTCCCGGATAATCTGTTCTGCATATAGGTTGAAAAGGTATGGAGATAGGATGCATCCCTGGCGTACGCCCTTCCCAATTTTGAACCATGCAGTGTTCCCGTGCTCTGTTCTGACGACTGCCTCCTGGTCCAAGTATAGGTTTTGCATTAGAATGATCAAGTGTTCTGGGATTCCCATTCTTATCAGAGTCAGCCATAGTTTGTTATGATCTACACAGTCAAATGCCTTTGCGTAGTAAATGAAACACAGACATTCCTCTGATATTCCCTGCTTTCAGCCAAGATCCATCTAACATCAGCTACAATATCCCTAGTACCACGACCCCTTCTAAACCCAGCCTGCACTTCTGGTAGTTCTCTGTTGATGTGCTGTTCCAGTCGTTTTTGGATAATCTTCAAGTAAAATCTTGCTTGCATGTGAAATCAGTGAGATTGTTCTGTAGTTTCCACATTCTGTTGGGTCACCTTTCTTTGGTATAGGAACAAATATAGATCTCTTCCAGTCAGTTGACCAAGTGGTTGTTCTCCAGATTTCTTGGCACAACCTGGTAAGCACGTCCAGGGCAGCATCTGTTAACTGAAATATGTCAATTGGTATACCATCTATTCCTGGAGCCTTATTTTTTGCCATTTCCTTCAAAGCAGCCTGAACTACTTCTTTCTCTTGCTCATATATTGTTTCATGAAATTCTTCTGTGTCTTCCAATTCCTTTCGATACAGTGACTCAGTATATTCTTTCCATCTTCTTTTAATACTTTCTGGATCATTTAACCTTCTGCCGAAAGCATGTACAGCTTTTTAAATTGTTAACATTCATGAAACCTTAGGAATCAAAAGGTGTGAAAAATAAACTGTTAAAACTAAAAGTTGTTCTCTTTTCCACTATTGACAAGAACCATTACAAAAAGTTAAGAAAGATTTTAAATGTGAATCTTGCTCAAGGCTTAAAATTTGCAGCCTGTTAGAGACTACTTCTGTTCCTAGAGAGGGAATCATGCTTGGAACGATGGAGAGACGGTGAGGAGAGAAAGAGCCTCAACCAGCTGGATTGACACAGTGTCAGCCACAGTGGGCTCGAGTGTGTCAGAGATGGTGAGGATGGCACAGCAGAGGACAGGGTTCAGATCTGTTGTGCACAGTGTTGCCGTGAGTCACACTTGACTTAATGGCACCTAAGAACAGCAGTAACGCCACCACCACATGGAGAAAATACTCACCTGAGACTCAACCGAGTATTTCTGTGAAGCTGGATCCTATGGTTGCTTTGAAGTGCCTTTTGAGTCAACTTTGACTCCTAAGTCATCCCATACAGACATAGTAGGACAACCCTATACATTGCAATCTTCAAGGGAAAATGTTGCCGGGTCTTTTTCTTCCCAAGACACTGCAGGGTTTTGAAATTCCAAATTTTGTATTAGCAGCAAAGCACTTAATTGTTGTGTCTCTGGGGAGGTATTGAATTCTAGTGACTACCTTTTTTGAAATCTATATTTAAAAATAGTCCATAACTTTTTTTGGTTTCTCTTTATCTCTCTTTTCCAACAGCTACTTCTCAGACATGTATAATTTGTTACTGTAGAGACTTTGGAGGAAGGATTATATAACAGTGAGAGAATTTTTCTTTTATTTTTCAAAGAGAAGAGTAAACTGAAGGGGGAGGAGTGGGCAGAGAGAAAA